GCTTTAATCTCTATCTCTCCCCATGTTTGAGGCACGAGAACCATCTGGATCCTTCTTGGGTCTCTCTGTAGTACCAGTTGATAGGAGATAAATGATCTCTGCTGTCTGAGGCTTGGCCATTTGAGTGCTGCCTGTCATTGCGAGACGATGAGTAAGATTCTCAGAAAATGTATCTGCTTGCACCTGTATTTGAGTTTTTTCTTTAAATTTTCTTTGTCATTATTATGAGAGAGGGAGAGAAAAAGAGGGAGGGAGAGAGAAAGAGGAAGGGTATGTGCGTAAGTGTGTGTATGCAGGCATATGAGTGTGTAAACGTGTGTAAGCAGGTATATGAGTGCCTAAGCGTGTGTAAGCAGGTATATGAGTGCCTAAGCGTGTGTAAGCAGGTATATGAGTGTCATGGCTTGGTTGCAGGGAGGGTAAGAATATAAGTTTCAGGAGTCAGTTCTCTCCTTCCACTGTGCATTCCTAGAATCAAAATCAGGTCATCAGGCTTGTATGGCAAGCACTTTTACCTGATGAGCCATCTCATCAGCCCTGAATTTAAGTACAGGTTTGCAATAATCTCTATTGTAATTTGTAGAGGAATGAGAAATAGTGTTTACTCTTGGTGAGCCCTAGGGAGAAGCCCCACTGACAAGTCCTTTTACTGTTTAAGAATGCACCCTGAGTTGGCAAGGGGGCCCAGAGGCTAAGGTACTTGCTATTGTCAATCCTAAGGACCTGAGACCTGAGTTTAATCTCTTGGATTCACACAGTGACAGGTGACAACCAACTTCCGCCTACTGTCTGCTGACCTCCACACGCGCGTCCTGATGTGTGCGCCTGCCCACCCCACCCCACCCCTACATAAAACAAGTAAAGCAATAAATGTAAACCTCAGGGCCGTGCATTCTGAATTGATGCGAATGTTTTGTGTCACTTCGTGTATTAGTCTCTAACAGGTAACTCAATGGACACTAAAAATGTGATGGTTGAAGTAACCGGTTCTCTCACTAGAGATTTCTTTACATGAGGTTTCCCTGGACTCCAAAGAAAAAAAGGCAGATGCTTACTCCAAATCACTCTGGGTAAGTAGGTAGCAAGAGTCATAACAGAGACATCAGGGTATCTGATCCCATGTGAAAAATTATCTCATATGAAATTCTATCAGAATATACGCCGTTTTGGGGACGGAAGGAACTCTAGCTGCTTGTCCAAGAGGTACATCCCTTAGTGTTGGGACTTCCTAAGACATGTAAGAGGGGAACTCCATCCCCCTGGTGACTCCCTGGGAAGCATTCACAGTAAGTAGCGTACATCACTGATACTGAACAGACTCCTTAATATTAGTTCTTCATTTAGCAATGAGATGAGCCTATGACCTAAGATTCTATCTATCTCTAGAATTTCTAAAACTAACCAGTGTGCCTGTGGCTACTTCCTCTCTACTGTGCTTTTAAAAGTTCATTACATAATGTAATTGATATTCCTTGCATGTCTAATCTAAAATGTGATTTTGGGATTGGGGCCAAGACAGTTGCCTGACAGTATCTCACCCCCATATTGTTGCCTCTAGAAAACCTGGTGTGGCCTAACCAAACTGTAGAGATTAAAGTGTTGATTTTGAAATTCCAGGTAGATGACCTTGATCTGGTGCTTTTAAATGTCAGTTCTGAAAATTGAGACTGGAAAAGAAAAAGGAAATCTTGCTATGGGTTTAATGAGATTGATAACAATGATTTACAACAAAAATGCAAGATAGATATAAACAATTATATTATAAATATAATTTTAATTTAACTAGGTGTCCAAAGACCTATTAAATTTATCCATCTTACAAACTTAGATCATCTTCTTTCTTAAATTTTTAAAAAATTATTCATTTATGTATTTTATGTGTATGGGTCCTTTGTCTGCATGTACAGTTGCACACCAGAAGAGGGCATTGGATCTCATTGTAGACCACTGTGAGACACCATGTGGGTGCTGGAAATTAAACTTAGATCTTCTTGGAAGAACAACCAGTGCTCTTAACCACTGAGCCATCTCTCCAGTCCCTCTTTTAAAAATTCTTTACTATTTATTTTATATGTATGGGTGTTTTGCCTGCATGTAGGTCTGTGTACCACATGCATCCCTGGTCCCATGGAGGCCAAAAGAGGGCATTGGATCCCCTGGAACTAGAATTATAGACAGTTGTGAGCCATCATGTAGGTAATGAGAATGGGACCCAGGACCTCTGGATGAGCATCCAGTGCTCTCAACCACTGAGCTGTATTATTTAATTTTTCATAGCCAAGGGTAACAGAAAATGAGAGGACAAGGAAATGATTTCTGTTAGCCAGGCATGGTGTCTTAGCTACTTTTCCGCTGCTGTGATGTTACATGACCAATGCAACTTATAGAAAAAAGGGGTTTATTGGTAACGTACAATATCGGGGTTGAGTCTATGGCCGTCATGGTAGGAGCATGCCAGCAGACAGGCAGGCATGTCACTGGAGCAGTAGCTGAGAGTTTACATCTGTAACCACAGTAGGAGACAGAGAAAAAAACTAACTAGGGTGTCTAGAGAGATGACCTCTTCTGAAGGTCCTGAGTTCAATTCCCAGCCATCACTTGGTGGCTCACAACCATCTACAATGAGATCTGGTGCCCTCTTCTGGCCTGCAGGCATACATGCAGGCAGAACACTGTATACACCATAAATAAAGATATAAATCTTTAAAAAAAAAAAAGCCTAATGAGGAATGGTGTTAGCTTTTGAAACTTCAAAGCCAATGACACACCTCCTCCAACAAGGTCACACCTCCTAATCCTTCCCAAACAGTTCCAACAGCTGGGGCCCAAGCATTCAAATAGATGAGTCTATGGAGGCTATTCTCTTTCAAACCATCACAGATAATGATGTGCCCTTTAATTCCAGCACTTGGGAGGCAGAGGCAGAGCACTTTGAGTTCAAGACCAGCCTGATCTACACAGGTGGTGTTCCATCCTACATAGTGAGACTTTGTCTCAATAAATAAATAAATAAAGCCTTATATAATACCTGTACATAATATACATTAAAACCTTTTTTTGTTTAATTTTTGTTATGAGTTTCTTTTCTGGGAACAATCATATACTTGATTGTGCTCATGATATATGTGAGAAAATGTGCCAAGTACTGCACAAGGAAGTCAAAGAATAAGTCTGTTGATGAGGTCAAAGATTCAGTCACTCCCCCGCCAGCTGCCAACCAATCTGTTAGCTCACAGCCTTTGTGGACATTTGTTGGATCTAAACTGTAACAGCAGGTTACAGGTTACATAGCTTCCTCTTGCTGGTGGACAAACGTGCAGGAGTAAATGAAAGCACCCGAGGGGCCAGGTGAGGTGGCTCACACTTGTAAATCCCAGCACTCGGGGGGGAGGGGGGCGGCAGGATTGCTGCAATTTTGAAGCCAGCCCGAACTAGATAATAAGAACTTGTACCTCAATAAATAAATGATAGGCCGAGTTCAAGTTCAGAGTGCTTCCAGGAGTAAGGACACATCCAATGCTAGGAGGCTGACAACGCAGTCTCCCGGAAAGGGAAATCCCTGCACTTAGACCTTTCCAGCCTTTGCCTTGTGTGTCTCTTGATCTTTCTGTCCGTTTGCAGAGCCGAATCTCCAAGAAGGGTCCAACGTGGCTAATTGGGTCTCAGTTCACTGGCCAAATCTGATAGTCATTTGCCAGTGCGAGGTCGCAGGCACGGTGTTCTAGAAGAACCATACACTGAAACTTGCAGCCTTTGCTCAGATGTGTCCCTGACTCAACTCTGAGATAGCAGCTTCCAGAAGCTTCTTCTTACCACTTGCAGCCAAATTGAAATGTCATCAGGACTGTTCCCCATGTATTGTATCTGTTTGCTGACAGTGTGGAAAGTTTCTCAACACAGGCCAGGCCTGGTGTGCAGGCTGTGCGTGCGTGCGTGCGTGCGTGTGTGTTTAAATGTGTTCACAGGCTAGCCCATACATGAGCATGTTCAGAGGCCAGAGATCAAAGCTAATTTCTTCGTTCGCTTTCCATCTCATTTTTTGAGAGGGGCTCTCTCACTGAACCTGAAGCTCATGGTTTTTGGCGAATCCTGTCCCCAAAGGTCTCCCCTCACCCAGCACTGGGATCACAGAGGTGTCACACTGCCATGCTTGGTTTTCATGTGGGCACTAGGGATCCAAACTCGGGTCCCGTGTTTTGCTACATCTCCCCACATGCAGACTGCTGCTTAGGATAAAGCTTGTGTGAGTGGTGGAGCATTTGCCGAGCATGCGTGAGACCCTAGGTTCCATCCCCGGTGCTGTGAAATAAGCAAATAAATATTCAAATTAAATAGAACATCGCCTTTTCCTCAAATTCTTCTCTAGTACGTTTTTTTGTTGCTCTTCTTGGGCAAAAGAAGCGGGATCCTGCAAGGGGTTGAGTGTAATTCCAACACGCAGGAGGTAGAGGCTGGAGGATCCTGGTTCAAGACTAGTCTTGTGGGGTATTCACCAGAGCAGACTGCTCAGATATAGGTTTAAGGCAATCGGAAGTCTTCTTTTAGCTGGCCGGTGACTACTCTGGGTGTTTGGGATCCCAGTGTAGCTCTGAGCTTTTCTCAGGGTGAGCTTTTAAACACACACACACACACACACACACACAAAAAAACATGTTCTGGTTTACACACTTCAGTTAACAGGAGTAGTTAGTCAAAAGCAGAGCTACAGAAGCCAAAAAGCCAAGTTAGTACATTTAGAGACTGCCCCAGAACTATGGACTTTGATGGAGTAGGTCTGTTTTCATTTGGGCAGGTGGTGTGGTCTACGCATTGAGTTTTACAACCTGAATGGCACTACATCATGGAGTCAGTTGTGCTACGGTCAGGGGCCTTAAGGTCTGGAGCCCTGTTATAGTTTGAGCTATATAGCAAGACCTTGTCTCAAAAACAGTCATTAGTAAAATAAAACAAGTGGGTCCTTGGTTATTTTCTTGTTTTTTTTTTTTAAATTTTTTTTTCCAGTACTCACTTTGGCAGCACATAAACTCATTTGGATCGATAGAGAGAAGATGAGCAAGGCCCAAGTAAGGATGACACGCAAATTTATGAAGTAATCTATATATAGTTTTTAAAAAGTTTTAAGCTGGACAGTGGTAATACACACCTTTAATCCGAGCGCTCAGGAGGCAGAGGCAGGTGGATCTCTGTGAGTTCAAGACCAGCCTGGTCTACAGAATGAGTTCCAGGACAGCCAAGACTATACAGAGAAACCCTGTCTCAAAAAACAAAAAAACAAAAAAGAAAGAAAAGAAAAAAGGAAAAATAATTTTTAATCAGGGACTAGAAAAGTGGTTCCAGAGTTGAGAATGGCTCAGTTGTTTGGAGTGTTTGTTGATCTTGCAGAAAACCTGTGTTCAGTTCCTAGCACCCACATGAGAGCTTACAAACCCCCATGACTCCAGTTCCATGGGATCTGAAGCCCTTTTCGTGCCTCTTGGGGCACCAGGCACAAAAATGCCACACAAGAATATATGCAGCTACTCACACATGTACATAAAATAAAAATAAATAGCCATATATGGTGGTATATATCTTTATTCTTAGTACTTAGGAGGCAGAGGCAGGCAGATAGATCTCTAGGTTCAAACTCGTCCACATATAGAGGTCCAGAATAGCCAGGGATACACAGAGAGACCTTGCTTCAAAACAAACAAGCAAACAAACAAATAAAAAGATAAAGGAATTAACTGTGTGTGTGTGTGTGTGTGTGTGTGTGTGTGTGTGTGTGTGTGTTTGAATGTGGGCACAAATGTCCCATGGTATACTTGTGGAGGTCAGAGGACAACTTTCAGGAGTATGTTCAATCCCTCCATCATGGAAGCCAGCGGTCAAGCACCTTTATCCACTGAGCGGCGTCCTCAGCCCTACTTTCCCAGGCCCTCCAGTACTGCCTAAAGGAGAGCTTCGGTGTCTGCAGGAGCCCCCCGAGACTGGGTGTGTGTCTGGAAGTGTTGGATTACATCAGACAAGTCCTCTTGAATCCAAACCTCCCACAGCCCAGATAGAGGACTTAGAGACATTATTTCAAGATAGAAAATAAGCATCTTAACTTACATATTTATCTTAATTTACTTACCCAGTAAATATTGCAGAGATTCCATTAGGTGAGTGAAAAGTGAGTAATCTATGTTCTAGAGTGTTTTCAAATGGTCAGCAATGTCCTACATTCCAAATATTTTCATGATTAAAAATTATTGTCCATAGAGTTGCAGTTTGCTAAGTCTTTGGACAAAACTAACCCAGAATGACCCCGAACTTTCCTGGCCCAGCGGGGCTTTCAGAGAGGAGCAGTGCTTGCCCCGGGGCTGGACAGCTGAGACCTGGGACCTCTGACAAAAGCCTGGCAAAGGGAGATACTTCCTAGCACCCAGCGCCCAGAACCCTACAGTGAGGACCAGTCAAGGCAAGACTGGCTCGCTTGTTATCAACTAGACAGAAACTACCAGATTGGCCTGTAGGCAAGTCTGCAGGGTTTTTGTTTGCTTGTTTTTAATTAATGCTTGCTGTGAGAGAACTCAACCCACAGTAGGCTGTACAACACCCCCTCCCCTGCCCCAGTAGGTCCTGAGATTAAAAAGCAAGCTGACCAAGCCCTTGAACAGGAAGCAGTGTGTCTCTGTGAACTCTGTATCAGTTCTGGACCCCAGGTTCCTGTCTTAAGTTTCTGCCCTGATGCCTTCAATGATAAACCGTGATACGGACCGGTGGGCCTATGAACTCTTCCCTGAGCTGCTGTTGGTCAGAGCATTTTATCACAGCAATAGAAAGCAGACTAGGACAAGGAGAAAGAAAACATTTTGGAAACTCGTGTTTTGGTTAAAGGTGATTAGATTCATATTTGATACTTTCAGGAACCATCTTTGGTTTCCCTCGGAGTCATCTTTCTGTGTCATTTGTTAGAGGGGAGCACAGGGATTGCTGCTGGCGAACCTGTCGTTTGAACTAGCCTTGCAGACTGACTGGTTTACAATTCCCGACAGCCTAACACCTTTTTTTTTATTCATTTTTTAAATATTTATTTATTCATTACGTATACAATATTCTGTCTATGTGTATGCCTGCAGGCCAGAAGAGGGCGCCAGACCCCCATTATAGATGGTAGTGAGCCACCATGTGGTTGCTGGGAATTGAACTCAGGACTTTTGGAAGAGCAGGCAATGCTCTTAACTGCTGAGTCATCTCTCCAGCCCAACACCTTCTTTTTTAGCATTTTTAAAAGATTCATTCTATTTTTAAAATTGTGTGCATGGGTGTGTCTTCATGGGACTGTGTATCCACAAGCACAGGAGCCTGCGGAGGTCAGAAGTAGCCATTGGATCTCCTGGAACTAGAGCTATAGACTGTTGTGACCCACTTGACATGGGCACTAGGGTCACCTGTAACTGCTGAGCTGTCTCTCCAGCCACCCCCACCTCAACATCTATATTTGTGTGTATTTAGTTGTGTGTGTGTGTGTGTGTGTGTATGTGAGAGAGAGAGAGAGAGAGAGAGAGAGAGAGAGAGAGAGAGAGTGAGTGTGTGCCACATGTGTGCAGGTACCCAAGGAAGCCAGAGGAGGGCATCAGATCTTTTGGAGCTGGAGTTACAAGCAGCTGTGAATGGCTGATGTGGGTACAGGAAACTTAACTTGGGTCCTCTGGAAGAGCAGCAAGTCTCTTAACCACTGAGCCATCTCCCCAGAAGCAAAATGTCAACTTACACAAGCTTCCCTGAGGGTCCCCCAAAACAAACATGCAGTAGGAAAAAGCAAAACAGAACCAAAAATGATGTGAAGTTCCTCTTTTGTCTTCCATCCCAACAGTTAGGCTGACCAAAGAGAACACCTACTCTGGTCACAGCCTTTGAGGGACACTGGTATCCACCCTGTGTCCCGGCAGCCCGTAAGAGGCTGAAAACTCCAGATACACAAGATCCTTAGAAGTAATTCTGTGTTCACGTATGGTAATCCCTCGGGGGCTTTTCGTTAGCAAGATGTTCATCTAGTCCACTGGGGCCTTTTGCTGTCCTAATTTTTATTGTCCCCTTAGTACCAGAACAATTCCCATCCCAGTACCGCCTGCCTGTTGTCACAAGTTTGAGGCTCTATTATCACAATTGTCTCAGTTCTTTAAAGAATGACCAGAGAAGTCTTTACAAAAACATAATGACCCTTGGTCACTGCAGCGACAAAGGCTCTGACTCAATGGCTGAGAATAAACTTTGGATCCTGCGTGTCACACCTGCAGTCACTGAAGAAACATCTCTTGAATCCTCAAATTAGGTTCCAAGTGGCTAACCGGTCGCATGTTCAAAATAAAGCTTGGCTGCTCTCTTCCAACGGGGGTCACCCAGGTACTCAGTGTTCCTGGACAAGCACACTGAACTTTGCAGCCCTTGCCCGGGCATGTTCCTGTTACAACTGCCAAGGTAAACAGGCTCCAGGAAGTCCCGTGTGCCACCTGCAGGCAACCTTCTTTTTTCCTCTGTGATGCAGGGAGTGGAACTCAGGGCCTCCAGCTTGCTGGGCAAGCAGCTCTACCACTGAGCCAACCCTCCCCACCATCATCCTGCCGTCAATGCTAATGCGGGATGTCTTCCTGTATATGTGATGCTTTTATTGGCTAATAAATAAAGCTATTTCCATCAATGGCTTAGCAGAGCAAAGCCAGATGGGAAATCCAGAGATATAGGGAGAGAGTAGGCAGAGTCAGAGAGACACCCTGTAGGGAAGCTTACCAGTAAACCATGAGCCTCGTGATAAAATATTAAATAATAGAAATTGGTTAATTTAAGGTGTAAGAATTAGTTAATAAGAAGCCTGAGCTAACAGGACAAATAGTGTTGTATTAATATAGTTTCTGTGTGATTATTTGGGTCTGGGCAGCCAGGAAACAAAAGAGCAGTCGCCACTTACCTAATGGCAACTAAACCTTTGGCAGCTACACGGCATCTCTTTGACTCTACCTACTCCCTGTATCTTTATTCTGATTTCCCACCTGGCTATATTCTGCCCTGCCATAGACCGAAGCAGCTTCTTTATTAGCCAATGGTAATAAAACATATGCATAGCATACAGAGAGAAATCCCTCATCACAATTCCAAGCAACCAATCCTAAATATTTGATTTGCATAGCAGGCAGAGTTTGAAAAAACACCACAAAGAGAAGTCACGTCATGCAACAGGGCTCACATGGGAGGTTTATTGGAAGAGGAGAGAGAAAGGGACGGGGGGAGGAGGATAGAGGGTGGTCCCTGGGGACAAGAGTGGCAGAAGAGAAACAGAGAGAGGGAGAGAGAGAGAGAGTGGAAGAGAGAGAGAGAAGGAGAGAGAAAAAGAGAAGAGAGAGTCCTGAGGTGGGCAAGCGCACCTTTTAAAGGGAAACGGCGAATGTACACAGGAGGAGCTCTCAGTGCTGCAGCTGAGGATGGATCTGCCGGGACCCTAAGAGCAGCCGGTACAGATGCCTGCAGTCTAACAGCGGGAGGCCAGGGAAGACTCTTCTCCGTATAAGCCAGTCCTTCTCTCGTTCCTCCAGTGCCACCTCAGTCATGCCTCTCGAATTAATTACCTCGCATTCAAAACTTAGGTAGTCATTTTACATCTCAGGAAAAATCCTTTTTTTCCCCTCCCAAGACATGGTTTCTCTGTATAGCTCTGGCTGTCCTGGAACTCCCTCTGTAGACCAGGCTGGCCTTGAACTCACAGAGGTCTGCCTGCCTCTGCCTCCCTAGTGCTGGGATTAAAGGAGTGCACCTTCACTGTCCAGATTCTAGGATGGTTTTTTAAGACTTTGTCTCATCACATCTTAAAACATACAAATACACTTTTAGCACCTACTATAATCATGAAACTAAATTTTGTGAAACAGAAAGCACACACACAGAACAACAGCAACAACAACAGAAAAACAAAAATAAAAATAATTTTCTGTTGGTCAGCTCCTGGGTGTGGGGTCTACCCTGGCTTGTGATTCGTATGCCCAGTGTATTCAGTGGCACTCCAATGGAGAAAACGGTTTTCTCCTTTACTAGCAATCAACTGCAAATAGGTCTTTTGGTTAGGATGGGACCCTTGTTCACGTCCCCCTCTTAGTGCTAGGACCCAGTCTGGCTTGAACCTGTGCTGTCATGGTCCCCTGAGCTCACGTGTTTCAATCCAGTTGTGTTTAGATTCATCCACCACCTCTGGCTCTTAGAATCATTTCCTTCTCCTCTTCTGACTAGATCTATGAGCCTTTATGGAAGAGGTTAGATGAAGATATCCTATTTAGGACACAAGACATGCTGATATTAGGAGGAAAGACAAACTTTTCACACAAAAGCCAGATGTTCTGCGAATTAAACTGAAACTACCAAGTATCACTATCGTGGAAGGCCACAAGAGGGCGCTATGACTCCACAGACAAGAGCTCCGCGGTCTTCGCTGCCACCCCGAGTGTGTGGTATATGTGATATACATACTCATGTGTGTATACACAAGTGTGTGTGCAGGTGAGTGGGCATGTGTGCATGGGTGTGTGAAATCCCCATGTTAATGCCAGTTTTTCTCAGTTGCTTTCCACCTTATATATTGACAAAGCGCCTGTCGCTGGTCCCCGAGCTCCCCAAGCAGTCTGTCTTGCCCTAGCGAGCCCTGGTCTCTGGCGTTCTGGAATTACAGGTGGACCACACACCTACCCAGCAAGCTGTGAATCTGGATTCTGGTCCTGGTGTTTTGTTCAGGCTGAGAAGTCTCCCTGACATTTATTGTTTTGATTTATTTTGCTTGAGACAGGATCTCTGCGCAGCCCCAGCTGTCCCGGAACTCACTCTGAAGACCAAGATGACCTTGAGCTCACAGAAGTCTGCCTTCCTCTGCCAGCCTCTGCGCCCTGCTCTTCCGTTTTCTTCTCACATAGACTAATTACTAGACTTTTTCGTTGAGTGGAAAAACAGTGGAACAATAGCTTAAGAAATAAGGTTAGTGTTTTGTTTCGTTTTGGTAGTGCTGTTTTGTTTTGGGATTATTTCAGACATAGTCTCACTAGGTTGCTCTGGCTGGCCTGGAACTCACAAGTTGGTTTCGGACTCTGGGGTTGGTCTCCTCTTTATCACTACCTCACTGCTTTGTCTTTTACCTTGTGTGGAGGCCTGTAGAGGCCAAAAGAGGGCGAGAGATTGCCTGGAGCTGGGTTGCAGGCAGTTGTGACTGCCTTACACAATACTAAACCAGTCTTCTGAAAGAGCAGGCCACACCCTTAACTGCTGAGCCACCACTTCTGCTGTAAATACAGGGGATGGGGATGGGGACAAGGTTTCTCTCCCTCCACCATGTGTTTTCTGGGTATTGACATTAGGTTGCCAGGCTCGGTGGCAAGCACCTTTACTGGGTAAGTCACCTTAATGACTGATATATAGCTATTTTAAATGAATTATAAACTCATAGAAATAGACAAAATTCTCAAACTGTTCCTTTTTCTTTACAAAACTGTGTATTAGTACAATTCAAATCACAATAGCCTGGCTGGGTATGGAAGTGCACATCTTTAATCCCAGCACTGGGGAGGCAGAGCAGGCAAATCTCTATGAATCTGTGGCCAGCCTGGTCTACAGAGTGAGTTCCAGGACAGCCAGGGCTACACAGTGAAACCCTGTCACTGTGACAGTAATAACAATAATAGTTATTGTTTTGCTTATTAACCCACCTTTGGTCACAGGCACGTTGGCCATGAGCTCTGTGACATGTGATTGAAAAGGCATTGCCCACTTCCACTGAAGACCGCCCAGGGACCCTGAGGAGTGGCACTGCTTCATTCCGTGATTTTGCTTTTTCCTCATGTACCTCAGACCATATGCAAAAGGAAAGGGCGATGTGGTGATGTCTGTAGGCGCACACACAAAATGCGTGGAGGAAAACCTGCTTCCTCCTGCCCAAAGGACAAAATAAAGAGTGGCTTATCAAGACAGAAAACCAGATCAAACAACACAGGAAAAAGCGTGTCTCTCCTCCTAGCTCTGTCCCCAAAGGCTGAGAGTCCCCCAAATTTATCTTCCTCTGGTCTAAGGACTTGCCTCACCCGGCCACCAGGGTGCAGTGAGGACTTTCATCCCTGTGGAGTGGTGGGAGCCTCCACTAGTCCCATGCCAGAGAATATGCAGGGAATTGGACTTCCTCTCCAGCCACTGGGCACTAACAACACCTCCCCAGCCAGGCTAAGTGGAGGCTAAGTGACCAGCCTAGACTTCTTTCTACCTCCACTAGGTGATAATGTTGTAGGGATCTCTTTCCCGGACACAATAGCGGCAGAAGAGTCCTGACAACAGATTTAAGTAAGGCCACAGATTTCAAAATATCCCACAGTCCCAGGTTTCAATTGAAACCTGTCACTCAGTATACTGAGAGACAGGAAAGCAACAACAACAACAACAAAGCCACTGGCACGCTTGAGGGTCAGGTTCAATCACCACCACGTGTACACACAGACACACACACACACACACACACACACACCCCTCTGAGAATCAGAAACATCTCAGTCTAAATGAAATAGACAATTAACAAAGCCAGTAACCTGGCTGTCCTGAAACTTACTTTGCAGACCACGCTGGCCTTGACCTCACAGAGATCCCCCCCCCCTCGCCTCTGCCTCCCGACTGTTGGGATTAAAGGCGTGCGCCACCACCACCACCCACTTTCCCATAGAATCTTATATTGGAACACTTGGTCTCTAGTAGGCGGGGAATGGATTAGGAGGTATGTGGCTTTGTTGAAGAAGGTGTGTCACTGGGGGCTGGCTTTGAAGTTTCAGAAGCCCACACTATTCCTGTTGGGGCTCCCACTGTCTTGAGCTTGAGCTTGTGGATCAGAGGGAAGCTCTCAGCTACTGCTCAGTGCCATGCCTTCCTGCCTGCCACCATGTTCCCTGCCATGATGGTCAAGGACTCTCACCCTCTAGGATGGTGAGGCTCAATTAAATGCTTTCTTGTATAAGTTGCCTTGGTCATGGTATCTTGTCACTGCAATAGAAAAGTAAAGAAGACATTTGCATATATCTTAAAATGCATAAGACAGTTCAACAAGAGCCTTGCATAGTAGTGTATCCTTTTAATTGACATGACTAAGGAAATGCCATATCTCCTGATCTTATCCTGACTCCATTTTCTGTCTGCTCAGGTGCTTTTCGACCCCTTAACCCATGAATAGTCATCATATCTGCCTTGGCAACACATTCAGGACCTTCCATAACCCTGACCATGATTCAAATGCATAACCAATTAATCCCAGCACTCGGGAAGCAGAAGCAAGTGGATCTCTGTGAGTTCGAGGCCAGTCTGGTCTACAAGAGCTAGTTCCAGGACAGGCTCCAAAGCTACAGAGAAACCCTGCCTCAAAAAACAAATAAACAAATAAAATGCATAACCAAAATATCTGCTGAATGTATAGCCCAAACAATTGTTACCAGGTTCTCTGACCTACACCTGACAGTGGTGTCATTGTGGGTTTTGCCTCTAAAAATGCTGTACCCTTAAGTTTCAGGGGCCAAGACATTTTCTGAGGCTCCAGCCTGCTTGTAGTCACTGGCCAATAAGGACTCTAATATGCATGGTAGTCAATAATTCTCTCATATGAGCTATGGCAGAGCCCAGCACTCAGAGACGGCTGAGACTGAGGAATCACACGTTGAAGGCCAGCTTGGGCTATAGAGTGGATTTTTTTTTTTGAAATACCACCCACCAAAATCAAATTGAATAAAAGCATTGTAAGACAGCATTCTTGAAAATAAAACATTTATTTATTTGTAGGTGCATGCATGTCATAGCGAGTGAGCATGTGGCAAGCACAGGACAACTTGTGGGAGCTGGCTCTCTCCTCCCACTGTGGATTCATGAAACAAAGGTAAGCCATCAGCCTGGAGGCAGGTGCCTTTACCTGCAGAGCCACCAGGACGGCTCCTAACACGGTCTTTTTACAACCGCTAAATCTACACACAGCAAATACTAAAACGAGAGCTCCGTAAAAAGATTCTAAGAACCCAGTCTGAACCTGAACTACAAATGGTTCTGTATTGCCTCTTCCAGGAATGGCCATCATGTCTTTGAAAAAGTTGTTTGTAACCGTCTTGCAACCCTACCTTTGCAAAAAACCCTTTGTTTCAAAGGGTTATATGACCACCTATGACTTCGTCATGATGACGACCTGCTATAACTACTTTGTTATGCCTATCTTGCAAGCTTGCTTTTGTTTCGGGATGCACTAACTTGTCATGCTGATGTTCTGCTCCTGTAATCCTGACTATTTTGCACACCAAATTCTACTCCTGAGCTCTAAACGCCTTGATTTTCTCACATCCAACGCAGACCCCTGAACCCTGCCTTACGAGGAGGCAGCTCGTGTATGTGAATAAAAAAGATCACTTTAATTAACAACTTGCTTTCGTTAATGTGGCCATGATGGTTTGTGACTGTGGTCTTTCTCCTCCCATCTTTGGGACTGATTTAGCAGCTAAGACACTGTCCAGCCCAAACCCGGGTCTTATGCTTACCTATGTTCCTAACTCTGTTTTCCTGTTCATACTAGCCTCTCTCCAATTTTTTGATTTCTGTGACTTAACTCTGTTCCAGCCAAGTTTTGCTTTTTCCCGGTCCTTTTATTTTTCTGGAGATTTTCTTTCCCAACATCCTCCAGACCAATGTGGCCTTCATCCTTGTAGGTTTAGTGATGAGAACTTCACTTAAGGTTGTCCAGTCCTTCTCTACTGGGCTGAATATTTTTGCCAATAATACTATTTTAAGTTACATTCGTATCGCTTTTTCCTACTAGAAAAGAAGCTACCTGGGGAACAGGGAATCATCAGCACCTAAAATTCCTTCGCAAGGAAATGAATGCATGAATGAATGAACACACCTGTGGACCATTTCTTGGGGCTCACTCTGGAGTAGCAATATAAATGAGTCAGTCGGGTGAACAGAGATCTTAATCTTTCCGAAACTGGTGCCACGAATCTTGAGAGCCTGGGCTACGGACAAACTGGGAGGACCAGCTTCAATCCCTTGCTCTGCTCTCGGTGCGCAACTGCGGCTGCGCGGAGCGCGTGGCGGGCGGGGCCGAGCCACTTCCGGAACGGTCGGGAGCCGGCGAGACTTCGGTCCTCCGGGTGCGCTAGAGCGGCGCGAGCGCCCGGCGCCCGCGGCCATGGAGGACGAGAAGAGCTTCTCGGATATCTGCGGCGGCCGCGTGGTGCTGCGGCGTCGCTACTACTCGCCGTACTGCCGCGAGTTCGGCCTCAGCTCGGCTAGGCTGTCGCTGCGCTCGCTGACCGCTGTCACTTGCGCCGTGTGGCTGGCGGCCTACGGACTCTTCACCCTGTGCGAGGTAAAGGCTGGCGCTCGACCCTCGCAGGCGACCGCTTTAAAAAGGGCTGACCCGTGAGTCCGGGCCGGAGTGTGGGGACTCTGGGCCCGGGACGCCGTCCCGTGGCTGGACTGTTCTCCCTCACTGGGTGGCTGCCCTGCTCATCCCCAGTGCGCACCTCCTCGGAGAACTGTCAGTGGATGCTCCTCCTCCGTTCACGCCTCACTGCTTACAGTAGCCAGAGTACCACAGAATTCCAGAAAGGGGTTTTTGCAGACGCAGCTGTGCACGTGTGTGTGCCGGAGGAGCGCACTATTTCTTCCTGATCTCTGCGTTTCCAGGCCATGTCAACCGCCTCCCCCTCCCAACCCTTCCCCCAATTTAAGTACACCTTTTTGTCGTCCCCTCTCCCTCCACCCCCCCACCCCGACATGGTTTCTCTGTAGCCTGTCCTGGAACTCACTCTGTAGACCAGGCTGGCCTCGAACTCACAAAGATCCGCCTGCCTCTGCCTCCTGAGTGCTGGGATTAAAGGCGTGCACCACCACTGCACGGCCTTAAGTGCACTTTCTGAAGAATTGCCAAATTTAGGGCATGAGTGTTTTCTATGTTCAGTTTTCAGACTTTCTAGTGTTTTTGGTTGGGTTTTTTTTCCCTCTGAGCTCCACTTTTCACATATCTAAGATGGTTAATAATACTGTGAATGTCAAATGCCGTGAGTTTGTAACAGTTTTCAAGTAAAAAGTATTATCCAATTGCTCAGGATGAGTGCTGGTTTCCTGTATAGTGCCCTGAAATGAAAATATTCCTGGTGTGGTCTCGCCAGAGCTAAGTACACCAGAACTGTTTATTTCTGTAATCTGCATATTGTTTGTATTAGAACATCCATTTGCTTTCTTTCTTTTTTTTTTAAATTTTTTTTAGGGTCTCAGTATATGTAGTACTGACTGGCCTGAAACTGGATTATAGGCCAAGTTATGTGGCGCCTGCTCTGCCTCCCTAGACCTGGGACCAAGGGTGTGCTTCATCACACCTGGCCCATGAGCTTTTATGCCGTCAAAGCAGATGACAGGACATGATAATTTACACAGAAATAGATAAAATTAAGACCACTCATTTACGGCCTGGAAGATGGCTCAGCAGGTAACAGCAGCTGATGCTCTTAGTTGAGAATCCTAAAACTCACATGATGGAAGGAAAGAGCGATTCCCAAAAGTTGTCCTCTGACCTCCACACAGTAAATAGTAGGCTGGGTGTGGAGATGCATGCCTGTCATCCCAACACTAGAGAAGCAGAGGCAGGAGCATCTCTGGGAGTTTGAAGCCAGCCCGGTCTATATCAGTGTACATCCTGAGCTCCAGAACAATCAGGGCTACACAGTGTACCAATTTGTATCTAAAAGTTTCTTCACAGATCAGTTGAAGTCATTAAGTTGACCTAACCCTCCCCTCAATTTATAATATAGTTGAATTTATTTTATTTTATTTTATTTTACTTTATTTTATTTTGAGGGGCATTAGTCATTAGTGTCTCACCTCGTAGCTCTGACTGGTTTGAACTCATTCTGTAGAGCAGGCTGACCTTGAACTCGCAGACATTCACCTGGCTCTGCCTCCTGAGTGCTGGGATTAAAGGGACACATCACTGTGCCCAGTTGAACTTTAATGCTAGCCTATATTCCAGATACCTGTGCAGTTATCTGAAAGGAGGAACATATTACATGCCCAGAGTGCTAGCTAGCTGTTTTACTGAATTTCTTACTTCAGCCTTAGAAGAGAACAAAGGTTCAGAAAGAGTAATAACGTAATAGTCTTGATGTTGGCCAGGTGACAGATACGGGCTTCAAAACCAGAAGTGCTTGACTTTGAAATCCCTTTCCATTGTGTTCTCTAACCGATCGCAGGCAGTCGTGTTCACTGCGTGTTGGTTGGTTTTGAGATACAGGGCCTTGTCGTGTAGCCTAGGCTGTCCTCTCTCCATCCTCCAGTCTCGGCCCCCACCAGGTGCTGGAATTACAGGTGTGTACAGCACACCAGCTCCCTGCTGTACTGATGCCCCTCTTGTACATTAACCCTAATGTCCCCCAAGTGCAGGAGTAATGCTTGCTCCCTCCTACGTCAACACTTCCCTGGGGCTCTGTGTGCCAAAATTTCAGATCTTTGCCCCTGCTCAAAATTATTCATGAAGGTAATGAATATCTGCAGTGAAAAGAGCTCTCAAAGGAGACATTCAAATACGTGGCTTCCAACCCTGACTCAGATGGATAGTGCATTGTTAGAATTCTAGCCAGGAAAATGGACTTTGAGGCAGATTATCTTAACAGAAAGGTGAGTGGGTGAAATTCCCTGAGCATTTACTGTTTTTCATCCTGTCATTCTCCGTGCCTTTGAATTCACAGTTCCAATGCTATTCCAATCTGAGCGCTTTAACCTCTCAGCGTGCACTGTCTTCTCTGCACCAGTGAAGGCTGCTGCCTTGAAGTCTTCATGGGACAGTCCTGTGTGTTTTAATCTCTCTCTGCCCCTCTCTTTCACTCTCCACTCTTTTATAGCCCTCCTGCCCTCTCCCTCCTCTCCCCCTTCTTCCTTTCCACTTCCTTCGACAGTTGTAGTCAGTAACACAATATTCTAGACTCTTTTTCCCTCCTCCTCCTCCTCCTCCTTCTTCTCTGACTGTACTGGAATTCCCTCTGTACACCAGGCTGCCCTCCAGCTCACAGAGATCTGCCTGCCTCTGCCTCCCTGAGTGCTGGGATTAAAAGCATGCACCACCATTGCCCGACTAGACTCACTTATGTATCAACCTTGCATCTGAATTTAATCTGGCCTTTCTTCCATAATGTTTATTCGATTTGTACTGTTTACAAGACATTTCCCTACACCTGGAAGTTAGTTACTTGAAACTTGATGTTTCTGGGTCACCAGAGGCCCAGCTCTAGCTCTCATTTATCAGCCGAAAGTAGTTATCTGAGCAGAGTCAGCAAACCTTTTCTTTAAAAAGCCAAATTAATATTTTAGTCTTTGTAGGTCTCTGACCCATATTCTTTTTGTCCTTTTATATTATTTAAATTTTATTTTCTGCGTATTGGTGTTTTGCCTTTATGTTTGTCTGTACCACATGTGCCTGGTGCCCAAGGAGGTCAGAAGAGGGTGTCAGGTCCCCTGAAACTGGAATTACAGACAGCTGGGAGCTACCGTGTGGTTGCTAGAAATTGAACCCAGGTCCTCTGTTAAGATCAGCTTAACCGATGAGCTGTCTCTCCAGCCTGTTTTTGTTCTTTGTTGTTTGTTTTTTAGAGAAAGGGTCTCTAAAAGGTGCAGCCTTTTCTGACTTGGAACTCTTTGACCAGGTTGACTTTGAACTCAGAGATCCACCTGCCTCAGCCTCCCAAATGCCAGGACTAAACGAGTGCACCACCACGCCTGACTGGGTTTTGTTTTGAGACAAGTCTCACTGTGTAGCTTTGGCTGGCCTGGAACTCAGATCCATCTGCCTCTGCCTCCTCAGTACTGGTATTAAAGGTGTGTATCACAGTGCTTGTCCAG